GACTGTCTCCCATGTATTTCCATGTTTGACTTCAACACGTCCTGAGCAGGCAGTGGCCCCTCCTACCAGCCGGACCTCAATGCGACCTAGAGAGTCAATACATTCATCAGTGAGTGTTGGTTATGCTGACATCCCATAACCTTCCCCAGGCCATCCTTGGGATGAAATGGGGGAACCTTCTTCTCTCAACAGCAAAGACTTTGTTAAATAAGCAGGAGCCCTTGACTCGATATGCCAATTCCTGTTACCTGTCAGCTCTGTGTTCTTGGGGAACCAGGGCGCAGTACCCAGCCTGTCTATATGATTCAACAGTATGATGCAATTTTGAAAATGCTAGTATCATTCTCGTGTGTATTAACAGGACTGTCATATGCAAGACACAGGAGATAGCTGTCCCACTCTAGGGGACACTGGTGAGGCCTAAGCTGGAGTACTGTGTCCATTCTGGGTGCCACACTTTAGAAAATATGTAGACAAATGTGGAGGTGGTCCACAGGAGAGCAACAAAACTTATAAAAGGTTTAGAAAACCTGATCTATGAGGAGAAGTTAAAAAAAAAAAACTTAGACATGTTTAGTCTTAAGAAAAGAAGACTTGGGGGGGGGACATGATATCAGCCTCCAAATATGTTAAGGGCTGTTATAAAGAGAACCAGGGTGAATTTTTCTTCCTGTCCACTGAAGGTAGGACAGAAAGTAATGTGTATTTCTGCAGCAAGGGAGATTTATGTTAGATACTGTATTAGGAGAAACATCATAACTAGAAGGGTAGTTTAGGTTAGTTCTAGAATAGGCTGCCAAGGGAAGTTGTAGAATCCACGTCATTGGAGGTTCTTAAGAACAGGACGGATAAACATCTGCCTAGATTTAACTGATCTTGACACAGTGCAGGGGGATGGACTTGATAACCTCTCAACCCAACCCCACATTTTAATGATTCTTTGAAGTTACTGCACTGTCTCTGCCTCAGTTTCCCATCCGTGAAATCTGGATAATGATGTAGGTACTTTAAGAACTACTGATGAAAGCTCTAAATCAAAAGATCTAGTTTTTATAATTAGTCACAGTAGACTATCAGCTGCAAACCTAGGTAAGAACAACAACTGTTTAAATAACCATTGACTCCTACCAAGAAACATTTCTCTTTTGGTTTAAAAAACTAGTACATTAAATGGCAAAAATCTTTGTTAATGCAGAGTTAAGGTTGCCCGTTGATGGCACATGTGCTTCCAGAACTTTGGGTTCAGCAAAACTCAAACTTCTGAGCACAGAGTTTAGAGTGCAGATAGACACTAACGCAATGTTAACTCTGCCCTCTTCAAGCAATGACTCACAACACCCATAACACACACACTCCCACTCTGCCTGTTCACTGTAATAGACAGGCACTATCTGTAGTTTCCCTGTGCTCAAACACTGAGCCTATCCCCTGAGAGCATACCACACTTGCAAAATATAAGAACCCCCCTTTTACCGCCCCTTTACATGTCAACATATCCCCTAAACATATACTTTTATTTACCCATCATTAAATCCACACACAGCTCTCATGTCCCAGCTCACTACTGACAATACCCTTAGAAAGATGAACCCAGTGCCCTGCTACTGACACAGCCTACGCAAATGATGCCAACTGGAACCTCAAGGTCCATGTAGCAGTGCGGACTCACCTCTCGGCACCTCCCGCTGGTCTCTGTTGGGAATTAGGTCTCCAGCCATCAGAGCACCCTCTGCAGGGCGGTGATCCACCTTACCGCTGGACCTGTCTCTCTCCCAGGACCCCAGTGCCCCTTTCCCTGGGGTGCTGCCCCTCTGGCAGTAACCCCCCAATATCAGGGTCTCCCCCTCCCAGGGGAACCCTCACCCCCTATCCCTACCTTGCCTCAGTCTTGGTACTGCCATCACCACTTAGCCCCCATTCACTGGAGCAGACTGCAGTGTATCAGCCATTCATCATAGGCAAGGAGGGTTGGACCTGCTGCCTTTGCCTGCTCATGGGCTGTCCCTTTGCAACCTGCTACCTAATAGGCCTCACCAGGCCTGCAGCCTAGGGCTTTCCTAAGTCGGAGCCTCCCCAGCTCCTTTGCCCTGTCCCCAGCCCTGCTCACCTCCAGGTACCTAGTTAAACTCCCTGCAGCCAGGCCTGTCTTCCTCTGAAGACAGCGAGAGACTGACTAGTCTTCTGGCTCACAGCGTCTTATAGGGGCCAGCTGAGCCTACCTTCCCGAATCAGCCCAGGCTTCTTGCCCTAGCCACAGCCTTCTCCTGGGCTGCTTTTAACCCTGTCAGGGCAGCAGTGGGTGACTACCCTGCTACAAGGAACACTTAGTCTCCTTGGGCTGCCCTGTTGGCTGGAGCTCTCCCTCTTCCCTGGTTGCTATGCTGGCTGGAGCTTCTTCTCCCTTTCTTCCTAGGCTGCTGCTGCTGGCTGGAGTTCCCTCCCTGGACTGCTACTGCTGCTGAGCGAGGGGTGGGAGGACCTTGCCGGCCTGCCCTCCCTCCCCCCACCTCTGGAGGGAGAAGTCAGGACCCTGTCTCCACCACCGCTACCACCTGTGAGGGGTCCTTCCTGCCTGGCCACCAGGGTTGCTGGAGCTGCTGCTGCTGTGTTTGTTCTGGGGAGCTGCTGGAGCCTGGAGGAGGAAGAGGACTATGCAGACCTTCGGCTGCTGGGGGAGCGCACAGAGACTCTGGAGACCACTGTGGAGGGGGCCATCAAGGACTGAGTGATTTTTGAACTGTGCTCTAGTGGTGGGGGTCTAGACTGTGTTTGTGGGGACACAGGGGGTGTGGTGTGGAGCCTCCCCGCTGGTCCATCTGTGTTAGGGTTACCATACGTCCGGATTTTTCCCGGACATGTCCGG